CGTATGCAACGCACATACGTATACAACGCACATACGTATACAACGCACATACGTATACAATGCACATACGTATACAACGCACATACGTATACAACGCACATACGTATACAACGCACATACGTATACAACGCACATACGTATACAATGCACATACTTATACAATGCACATACGTATACAATGCACATACGTATACAATGCACATACGTATACAACGCACATACGTATACAATGCACATATGTATACAATGCACATACGTATACAATGCACATACATTTGTAAGTATACAACGCACATACGTATACAACGCACATACGTATACAACGCACATACGTATACAACGCACATACTTATACAATGCACATACTTATACAACACACATACATATACAACGCACATACGTATACAATGCACATACGTATACAATGCACATACGTATACAACGCACATACATGTACGTATACAACGCACATACTTATACAACGCACATACGTATACAATGCACATACGTATACAACGCACATACGTATACAACGCACATACGTATACAATGCACATACGTATACAACGCACATACGTATACAAGGCACATACGTATACAATGCACATACGTATACAAGGCACATACGTATACAATGCACATATGTATACAATGCACATACGTATACAACGCACATACGTATACAATGCACATACTTATACAATGCACATACGTATACAAGGCACATACGTATACAAAGCACATACGTATACAATGCACATAGGTATACAACGCACATACGTATACAATGCACATACTTATACAATGCACATACGTATACAAGGCACATACGTATACAAGGCACATACGTATACAGCGCACATACGTATACAACGCACATACGTATACAACGCACATACGTATACAACGCACATACGTATACAACGCGCATACGTATACAACGCGCATACGTATACAATGCACATACGTATACAACGCACATACGTATACAACGCACATACGTATACAATGCACATACGTATACAATGCACATACGTATACAACACACATACGTATACAACGCACATACGTATACAACGCACATACGTATACAACGCACATACGTATACAACGCATATGCGTATACAATGCACATACTTATACAATGCACATACGTATACAATGCACATACGTATACAACGCACATACGTATACAATGCACATACGTATACAATGCACATACGTATACAATGCACATAAGTATACAACGCACATACGTATACAACGCACATACATATACAACGCACATACGTATACAACGCACATACTTATACAATGCACATACTTATACAACGCACATACTTATACAACGCACATACGTATACAACGCACATACTTATACAATGCACATACTTATACAACGCACATACTTATACAACGCACATACGTATACAACGTTTGTAGTTTTACAATGCAAGATGACAGTGGTGTTTTTTGCTTACATATTTATCCATTAAAATACTGATATATTTCTTATAATAAAGCTGTAATTCAGGATCAGTCATGGATGTATTCGAGTGTAACACTGTATCCAAGCATGTCTCCATCTGAAACCAAAAAAATACAATTTAAAGCAAACATCTCCATTTGAAATTAAAAACATACAAATTCAAACTTACAATTTCACCTTTACCCACAATGTTTGGCAGGGGTTACATTCAATAGCACAAAACAACATAAACCCTAAATGAATGTTTCTGTCATTTTTGTTAGGCTAGTGAATCACTTTATAATTGCTGCCCTCTAACAGAACTGATTTTGTTTATAAAATGTTTATCCCATTCATTTTATTACCAAATTACAAATTCTACAACTATAGTAAGATGTTTTAGAAGACTAATTGTACCAATGTATGATTTACTGTTATGTCATTGGTGCATCAACAGAAGCATAACTGTGTGTCAGTGACAAGTCACATCGGCTAAGAGAGTACACTGGTCTTCACCCCGTTTTGTGCAAAGCATCTATAGCAAACAATGAGCTTTGAAAAAATAATTCATGTCATATTTTATCATCTGAAACATTATACACAGAATGGGAGACATAATTGCACATGAATTAATCTATGCATAATTATTATTTTCCCTGCATTGTCCTGAACTTGTTCCACTAAATATGGTAAACAATATAGAAATAAATATTGACCCGGGCCAAGGGTGATATACAGATTTGTTGACCCGAAGAGAGTGCAATATTGAAGTGACTATGGTTACAAGTATTCACATAGAACATAACTTGTCCCAAGTAATGCAAGATACATTTTGTATTGTGAAACATGAAATCATCAACATTAGGAATGGTGACCAAAATGCGTCAACCTCACTAAATCATCTCAGAAATCAACACGAGTTCTGTATTCAGGATCGTCTTGGGAGCAGAGACATGCTAAGACGTGCACCACTGTACCATGTATTTCTGTCGGATCTGAGCGAGCTGCTGTAGAATGTTGGTCGAAGAGCTGGTGAAGGCAGCTAAAGTTGAGGAAATATCACAAACTTTGAAGTACCATAAAAATCATATTTGAGGCCGCAGGTTTCATAGAAGCCACACCCCTAACTTGAGACATTGTTTCACGTTGAAATTGACAAGTTTTGATCCCAGGAAAAAGCCTGCAATATAAGCCGCATCACAAACCAAACAGCCACCACATATTTCAGAAAAAGATATACCATAATTTTTCAAACATTTCAATCTTTCTTGATGCCTAGATTAGAGTCTGATTTAGGTTTTCCATAGTCATTGACGCCTATTCAAAAGTACAGTGTTTATTGTGGGTAGCGTGAATGGGTAAACTGCGCTTCGTCAATTAGCTGTTATCATCGTAAAAAGTGTTAAATTCTTCTTCAATGTATTGATTTTTAAAAAAATTATGCCGTTTTCCTATCAAAATCAAAGCCAAACGATCGCACTACAACAACAGTAAGTTTCTTCCATGTTGCGATCACCATGAAGTCCCTGAACTACCATTAACATAATCAAACGAGCTATGGTAACTCAAACACGTTGGCACCATCCAGCGTTTCGATTGGTTAATATTGGTGACTTGACCTATCAGGTCAAAGAACAGTTTCAAGTCTCTAATGTGCTTGGACAAACATGGCGGATATCGTATCGGATAGAGCATCTACATGTAATCGAAATCACCAAGACTTCACGAATCTGAAGTCATCCATTGAAAAAAATCAATTTTTATTAAAGCCGCAGACTCAATTAGGAATTTTACGGTAATCCTAAGCAATCAAATTTATAGATGTTGGACATTCAGGGGTAATCTTGTTTAATACCAAGGTCGGGGAGGGGGGTTCTCAACAACTATACTTAAGTACAGTACAGTACAGTACAGATGAAAACTTTGGATGGCCCCGAGAATACTGCAGTAAAATCAAGGACTTACTAAATCAGTCAACTCTGGTGGTACAACTTTCATACCAATCAATATATTGGATATATTTATCCAGGATTCAATCCCATCTTTTTCTTCCAAATCTTTACAGTTAGTGATACTCTGCCATATTGTAATTGCCTGACGAGGTAAAAAGAGAGAACTTGTTTTACATAGGAAAAATGATCAAACAACTCAATATTCAATACATGCTTTCTCAAACACAATAAAGTGAAATTAAAGATATCATTTGTTAGAGGCAAGGAATCTCCCTGTTCTCTCTACTGATTTCTTGTTGTTACTATTGCAAATGATAATAGCCCTGGGTAATCATAATTTAGTGCATTTTGTAGTTACATGTACTATATTCATGTTTGGGACTACAGGATGATGTGACCATCTCTCTTGTCCCATAGCAATTTTACTGTCACCGCCATATTGTTCCGAACACCAAAACAGCAACATTGCCAGCTAAGTTGCTGACTGCTTTGGTGTACGTTTCTAAAGATTGTTATGTTACTTGACCTTCTCGGATCAACTCATTTTTAGGAGGGGGTGCCACTCGACTTAATGTGGGCAGTGTAAGTAAACTCAAGTTAACACATGGCTATTTCTCTCAGTGTGCTCACAGTAGAGTGACTGTGGTGTGCTTGTTTTGTTTATTATTACAGCAAATCTCAGAAGTATTGGGGCAGCCAATTTGCAAACTCGCTAGCGAATTAGCTAACTGCTTGGGTTTTGTCTAAACAGTTGGCTTTCTCACTGGCGCCGATTCGTGGTCGTGTCCACTCTGGACGAGTCATTGTATTAGGGGACATAGAATGTTTTTATGTTGCCTGGAATTGCTTTGTTACGCAAGGCGTTATAATGTATAAGTAGTTTCTCTGTAGTCATAGTACAAATGTAAAGTAAACAAAATTATCGAGAGTGATTTTGGATTTGTTGAAAAAATAGCCGAAATGCTGTCTAATTGGTAATGGGAATTACCAAGCCAGTGTATAAAATAGTGAACACAAATTTTCGTAAATATTACTGACTGTGAATGAAGCCCACTGCGAAGTGTCTTGTATATACGTAATATAAATATTATACTATAGAACAGTATATCTCTCTTGGAGGATGTAGTGGCCCTGAAAAGGGCCACTTTTTTTAGGTTTTCTTAGTATATAGCGGACAATATTTAAAATGCGCAATGTCGGAAGAAACCTCTGGCATGATCATGTCCAGGGCATCCAGAATAGCGAATTCAGTGAACCGATTAGCAAATACATCATTTCTTTGCAATTCTCGTTTTAGATGCTACAACCATCACAACAGTGTCGCCTTCTCCAATAAACAGCTGACCATCTACTACTTCTTCATTCAATGTCTCCTCAAAAAAATTTTAACAGCTCCTTCCCCTTTGAAGGACAGTGGAGAATATTGAAATGGGTCACACCAAGCGGGCTATGCAATAAATTCACGGTAAAATTTATGTTGTGTATCTTTGCACTTCCACTGCCGGCTGACCGACTGGAACATGTCCATAGACACGATTGCCCGCCATGCATTTCACTCCTGTCGTATCAAAAAATGAACACGGAGATGTACCGGTACATGTAATAATAAACACAAACTTGCGCGCAAAACTTCAACAGATCGTTTCATTATAATTTGGGGGTTGCCGCTTTTAATTTGACACTGTACATACAGTGTGTCTTATATTTTGATATCTCATACATTGTGATACATGTATATGCCAACGTACACAGATTATTTAAATACATTGAAATTGGAGGTGTAATCCTTGATCCGATTTCCATAAGACTTGACTTGTGTGTGTTCCACGTAATCAGTGCGAAGTCTCCTTTTGGTGTTAGTTTGATTGAAGAGGGTCAAGTAAGATAATGATCTTCAGACGCGCATACCAAAGCAGTCAGCAACTTAGCTGACAATGTTGCTGTTTTGGACAGTAAAGCACTATCCTAACATCAACCAGGCATGGTGAACACAAGCACCAGCAGACTCATCTATTGTAGCAGCAATTGAAGGAAACCCTGTGGCTTGAGGCCTTCCAATTGGGGCTATGGGATCTTGCCCAATGTGTGTGTGTGGCGGGGGGGGGGGGGGGGATTATTTGACTGATATTGCTATCATGGAATATTCTCTGTTGTAATAAATAGATCCACCTCACAGTGAAGATATTACCTGCATTTCATTACCAAGCTGCAGATGTAACTGAGCGAGTTTTTTGGCAACCTCTTTCCATTTTTTCATGTCAGTATTTTCATAGATTTGCATCATTTTGATGTAAGTATCTTGTAGATCAGCCTTGAATGCAGGGATATTATGTTTCTCATAGAATGCACACAGACCCTAAACAAAGTAAATACAATACTGACAGTTAGAGGGGTAAACAAAGTAAATACAATATTAACAGTTAGAGGGCTAAACAAAGTAAATACAATACTGACAGTTAGAGGGCTAAACAACGTAAATACAATACTGACAGTTAGAGGGCTAAACAATTTGAAAGTAAATACAATACTGACAGTTAGAGGGCTAAACAAAGTAAATACAATACTGACAAAGGGCTAAACAAAGTAAATATAATATTCACAGTTAGAGGGCTAAACAACGTAAATACAATACTGACAGTTAGAGGGCTAAACAATTTGAAAGTAAATACAATACTGACAGTTAGAGGGCTAAACAAAGTAAATACAATACTGACAGTTAGAGGGCTAAAGAAAGTAAATACAATACTGACAGTTAGAGGGCTAAGCAAAGTAAATACATGTGCAATACTGACATAGTGCAGAACAACTTCATTACGATAACAATGAGTTGATTCTTTGCAAGATTACTTGCTGACACAAAATTTGATAACATGTGACACAAGAAAAGTGCCCTTAAAATTATATAAACTAAACTAAATATGGTCAATAATATATAAATATTGACCCCGGCCAAGATATACTGATTTGTTGACCCGAAGTGAGTGCGAAATTCAAGCTAACAGAGCTAGCTATGTACATATACATGTATTCACATAGAACATAACTCATCCCAAGTAATGCAAGATACCTTTTAGAGCAGAAAATGTTATAGTCGTTCGACCTGTTCATAAAATTACATGTGATTCTCAAAGAAAACGCCAACAAACCTCAACGGTGAATCAGCTTAGACGGCTCATAACATCTGCACAAGCACAGAAGCCGAATATTACGTCTTTTACTGCTGAGAAGTCAATATGCAAATATATACCCTTCTCTAAATACACAAATCTGATTGGCTAATAGGGCTATGAGGTATAATAATGATAATAATTGATTTTTTTCCCATTACTGGAGATGGACTTAAAACTGCATTACCATTAATATGCTTTATGAATATGATATTAAATATCATCAATGTGTTATCAATGTGCATTTGTATACTATAAATGGTAGAATTGTATACTAACACTATGTATATTAAGGATGGATGAATGGCGAGTACAATTTGTTTAGCTGAATTTTAGATGTCATTAGAATTTGGCTCAAAATACTAAGATTATGAATCCTTGTTGTAAACGATGAGCAATATTTTCTCTTAAAATGGATTAAAGGTTGAGCATTTTGAAATGTGGGTGGGTGGGTGGGTGGGTGGGTGTGTTGCGTAATTTTACGTACCATTTTTGTTCTATTACTACTGCTTGCACTTGCATAAAAGATGTACCGTACTCGACCGCCTTAGTGCCCAGGGGCCTCAACTCAGAAAATCATGATTTTTTGGGGTGGGCGCTTGATGAGCGTCTATGACTTGACCTCTATGATGAAACACTCGTAGTGATGTAATTCTTAGCCAATCAGTAAAGTATATACTTAAAGGTCAAAGATGATTGACAGACTGTAAACAAAAGCATTGTGTGCCATCGTAGCAGAGCGTTCCAATTTTTCTTGTCTCTTTATTGTGATTAGACATGACTTAAAAGTGCCAAACTGACAGACAGCCAAATCCGTGGATTATAAGTGCCAAGTTCAAATTGTACGTAATGATATCAACGAACTACAAGACAAAGCCGTAATTTGTTAAAACCGAAAATAATTTTACGCAGTTTAACCCATGACATTTTGAGTTTAGCGTATTAGGCATGTTTGTTGGCGGGGAGATCCTAATTCAAATGATTCCTCACTGTCACTGGTTTATTTGTCACATTATAAGCAATAAATTACTTTTGTTTTACTTCTGATGCTGCATATTGTTCATTTATTTCTGTTGCATGTTTTCGTTTGCCGTTCTATTCCCTGCCACAGTTCGGTCTGCATGTTGTCAATTTTCGCAAATATTTTTTGCTGGGGATGCCAGGGCATAAGCCCACCTTTTTTTATATAGCAATTTTCCATGTTCAGGACCCTGGGTTTTTACCCGGATAAATACGATACAGACAATTTGGACAAATTTACCGAAATATGGTCGGGAACAAAATTTGGCGTTCAAAGTGTTAAAGAAGTCAAGGACTTAAATATAAATATTAACTACCATTGACTCCCTTTGTGGGGAATCTTATTTCATATGGACCAGTATTTTAAAATACTTTATTTTTGTTATTTGCACTGAAGGGATGATTCAGGGAAAGTGAAATCTAGCGAATATATAGTTATTATATTTTACATTCTACTTTTCAAAAATCAGTCAAAATATATTCCATACAAAACACACAAAAAGTTTTATCAGCCAAAATTAATTTCAGCTAAAATAAAGTATTTTTACAGTTTTAATAAACGCCATAAACATACCTGCCATGCTAAGATCTGCTGTGGATCTGAGTCAATGGCTTTCTTATAAGCCATCCTTGCTTGCTCCGGCTGGTCCATTTCACCAGCAGACACACCAACAAACACCCATGCATTGTAGTTGCCCTTGTCTTGCTTTAATACTGCCTACAATAGAAGACAATTTCTTTAAGTACTCATTGAAAAATTTAATTCCAACCCATGCAGATAGTGGTTTCAAAATTTAGCAATTTTGAAGACTAAAATGGCCACCAGTCAGCCATACTTGATCAAATGATAATAAGAATTGATGTGCATATGTATGTCATTATACGTGGTCTGTGTGTTAAATCTCAATGTGATTAGTCAAAGCATATCTGATAAATAGCATTGGACACAAACAAACAGCATGCCTGATGATATGTTCAAATTTGGTGATTTAATTTTTTGGGGACCGAAATGGACACAGATTGATGTGCATATGTATCCAATTATGTCTAGTCTTTGCACTAACTTTGAACAAAATCAGTGAAAATATGTATGAAAAACTTCCCACCATTCTCATTGTCGATGAGAGGGAAAATAATCCACTATTATTTCCCTAATTATTACTGTGTTATGTTTGTATTATTGATTCAATATTATTCAATTGTGTTTCAGTGCTTTCTTATATTGTTATTGTGTTTCGATCGTCTTTATTACATGTTTAACTCGAAGAGAACTAGCACAAATAACGATAGCAGATGCCATTTCAAATGCTATTCTTTTATTAGCCAATCATAGGTCATAGCACTATGAACCAATCAGCACCAAGCCCGCTAGAATTTGTTATGGTGGCTGATCCTAACACTTGTTCTAGTGCACGAGTACATGTAACCATTTCCAGTGACGAGTAATAAATGCAGTTTCTTCATATCGTTTATTTGTTACCTGTTCCTTTGATTGACAGTCCCTTGTTTTATGTGTCTTGAACATTACGCTCGTTAGGGTTGAGATGAGTGTGAAACCCTATTCTCAATTTCCCTCACACTCATTGCCTACTATAAATTCTTCCTGGTTCCATACAATGTTGTTACTGGAAGCACAACTTGATAAGCTATTTTGAATTGAAAAAAAAATTAGTCATGCATGTTCCAGAATTCACTTACTTTACAGTGTTTCAAAGCATCTTTGTAATCTTTGTTCTTGATGGATTCCTTGGCATTTTTTAGCAGATTTTTTATTTCTTTACTCGCTCCACTCGCCATTGCAGGAAATGTTTACCGGTAATCTATTTTAACTGTAAATTACAATGAAAAGACATTAACTAAACAACAAGGAATTTTGGACAATATTACAATGTTCTCTTAAAGTAGAATGCTACAGAGAAGTAAAAATATTGTAATTTTTTTAATTTTTACATATTTGATATTTCATGTCATAAAGATTAAGAAAATGGAATAAAAATATGGGTCATCATACTTGGTTCAGAGAAAAACCATGTACAAATGAAGTAAAAATAGCATGTTTTGTCTGTTTTTGGTTATTTTACGGATATATATCTAAATACATGTATCTTAAAATTTTGCTCAATGACATATGGTGAAAATAGATATATAGTGTCTTACAAGGTAATTCTAGAAGTTTTGAAAAATTAACAATATTTTTAGTGGCTTTTTATCGTGGAAATGTGTTTTCATTGTGGTCTATGAAAACCGCTACTAAAATGGCATTTTATGCAAATTATTTTTATTTCTCCTGCCATATGCACTAAAATTATTTAAAAACTCGCAAGTAGCTCATTTTATCTTAAAATAGTTTAAAGGTTGATCATTTTTAGTGGGGGAGGGGGTGCATCAACAACTTTTTGTTCACATTTTCCTTTTTTCAATACACTGTTAAATGCATCTGCTAAATTTAAAGAACACACACTAACGTATTGAGAAGAGCTTGACACTTGAACCCCCCCTCTCTAAATTAAATTTGCTCTGGATTTTGCTGGTGTCTGTTTTTGGCGTTTTTTGTTGAATCGGTAGTCTGATTCGTTCACAATTACCAATAGACGAACGAATCAGACTACCAATGCAACAGAAAACACTAACACAGACACCAGTGAAATCCAGAGCTACAGAACTGCAGCTATTGTTGGTACTGATCTCAACATTATCAGTTCTATTTCAAGTAACATGGAAATTAATTTCTATTAATGTTCATCAACTCGCACTGTTTATAATTCACAGATGCCATAGAGTCGATTGTTTGAATGAAATTTTTGTTCGATTTACTGAATTGTAAATTGTTGCTCAACAATCGCCTGCCCAAAAATTGGGTACTCGTAGACTATATCAAACCATTGAGGTAAAATAACTTATCAAACAACATTATACAATAAATTATAAAATAAATGCCTGGACGATGTTCTTCTTTACTCATCACACAGCCACTCACTAACATTTGTACATAAGTTACACCACTGAATGATTCTTACCGACGGATCCATGGAGTAACAAACAGGAGGATCGAAACGAAAGTTTGCCTTTTGAACTTTGAACCAATCTTATATTTTTAAAGTACGCCCTCAAGTTAGACCACCTAGGCTTGGTTATTTTTCGCCGATACAGATGATTGACGGAGAAGGAACCAGTTTTCCAAAATACTGAATGTAACAACACTATCAGCTTGTAAGATTTACAATTCTTATTATAAATATCCAGTTTTTGGTGTCCGTGGGCATTGGTTATTTTGGTAATTGTCGACATTGTATGTTCGTATTAAGTTACTTAAGTGGCCACAACAAACTCTTCGGCGGTCAAAACAAAATACGCATGGAAAGTAATGTTTTGGTAAGAATTATTATAATCGTTTGCAAAAATGGGTGATTTATTTAAAGAAAAAAGTGCATGGTTTTCGAACAGTGTCAAAAAGAGAAGAAAAGAAACCTGGGGTAAGTACAAATAAGAGTAAATTTGTATAAACACGATAATATTTTCGTTTAATAGATAATTTCGGCCAACTAGCGCCTGGGTCAACGCTAGCCCTGAGTACAGTCCTGTAGGTCCCCGAATGATCAGCGGAAGAAGGCCAACCTACAGGACTGACTGTACTCAGGGCTAGGTCAACGCAGAATGATGATTTGTGTCTCGTGGGTCAATATAAGCACTTGGATCCACGGACGTTCGAACGTTTCTTGGATAATAAAAAGGACCTAAAGTATGGGGTGAGAATACCGCCAAAATTAGCTTGGTGTCATTATTTGAACATTGTTTAGTTGTTTGATCTTTATTTGGAAACTCGTTTGGTTATTATTTGGTCATTATTCGGTTATTTATTCTTTATTTAAACATTATTTTGCGCTTATTCCATTGTTGTGTTATTACTGCAGCATCGTATTGTCATTTCATTATTGTGTAATTATTACAATATTATTTTGTCATTGTTTCATTCTATTACAATTGTGTGGTTATTTAGACATTATCTTGACATTCAATTGTCATAAGATTCGGTTATTTTCATGTCCAAATGTCTTGACATTCGGTTCGCTTGACTTGCGATTACCTCAACATTCGGTTCGCTTGACTTGCGATTACCTCAACATTCGATTACCTGACCTACATTAGCTGACCCCGCTATACATGTAATATTCAATCCATAGTCCCGGGTCATCTCTGATAAAGCGTTGCTCATGATGGCAATGTAGCCTTTGTAAAAGTTAGCGGGAATTTCTGAATGATGGCCGTTTCATCAACATCCAGGGAACTGACTGAGGTCGTCAGAGCCTGTCGTGACGAAATATCAAATGCCGCAAAACTTGTTGTTGACACAACGCGCTCCTAGCGAAATTCGCGAGAGATGTGCTAAGAACCGTTCACAAGACTCGTTATCGTGCCGTGAACTCGCAAAATTTGAAAGAGCAACTAATATTCTTCAAGCTGGTATTTTTATAGATTTTATTTTTCATTCTTTTTCGTCTATTTTTCCAGTTTAAAAATGTGAGCTGGCTGGAGCCTTTATCCCTTGTCTATTTCTAATACCCTAGATACCAGCCGATAACGCCCCCTCCCCTCGCCCATAAGGCACCGCACCGCGTACAGTTTATTATAGTTCCTGGGTTCCCTGTGGTCTAAGCTGTGAAAAGTGAAATTAACAATTCGTTTCTGGTGACGAGGCAGCTTGTTGGAACTGGCGCCGGCATTACTAATGTATCACAATCATGCAGGACTGTGTTACAATCAAGTGCAGCCAGTGGAGCTGTTCATCGGAAAAACTGGTCCAGGGATTTTTGTTGAGGGCAGAGGATTTATCTATTTTTTGTAGGGGGCGGGAAATATCAGTAACCCCCCCCCCCCA